CCCACACATTTTAGCTTTACATTTTCTCTGGGATTGCTTTTTAAATTGGTGGAGCACCAATTTGACTTTGCTGTCTACATTCCAGCAGGAAAAAAGACAAAACAACCTAGGGAATAGGGAATGATTTTTTTCCCCCACCCAAACTCTATCTGGGTTATTTTAAAGGCGGGGCCAGTCCTAAATGACACATCATTCATTTTAATCTCATTGTAGCATCTTGCATTTGGGACTGTGTGTATCCTATTAAAATCTGATTTACTGCAAATTGTTTTGAATTACGGCGCAATTTCAAGTTACATCAAGCCATCTAAAGATTATGGCACATATCCACCAAGTAGAATATCCAAGCCCAGGCAAGATATTTTGGCATCGGAGGCACTTCTTCTCTTCTCTGGCAAGACAAATGGAGAATTTCTAAATCCTGTCTTTGCATGTCACAATCATCTACCTGAACCACCTATTTTTTTCAACCCAGTGATAGAGCTGGCTGAAAGTAGATTTCCCTAAGTTTAAATGTTATTCTCTAGGAAAAAAAGAAACCCCCCCAGAAGAGAAGATATGGCTATTAAAGCATCCCTTCTGATCTCTTGTTTCTGTCTGTGGAAGTAACAATTGTAAGACTTCACAAGAGGTTCTTCATGAGGTTTTCAGAATTGGATGCCTTTCACAATTAAAATGCAGAAGAACTTGATGGATTTGTTGAAAAAGCGGAAAAACTTTCAGGTTATCACATGGGAACTTCTAAGCTCCCTTAATGTTTAAAGTCTTAGTGAACTACTATGATATTTAAACCTTTTTACACTTAAGCTTCTTCTAATGCCATTTTTACAGCCTCCAGTTGGTGCAATTCAGCTTGTTATCTATTTTTTTTTTTTGCAAGCAGGACAATATCCAAGTTTCAAAAATGAAACTTTCATTTAGCCCTCACGGTTTTCTATGTTCATTAATAATACATATTGATCCCCATTGTATGAATATTTATTTCCTTTGCATTACTGGCTACTTGGGGTTCACAAGGATTGGGCAGAGTATGGGAACTGTAAACATGCCACAAATCTTTGCAAAGAAACTGTGATTTGTGGTTGAGGGCAAAGTGGGATCTGGGTCACATCTGAAATCCATGCAGGTTTAGGCAGGCTGCATGAGAAAGTGAGTAACTGGGAGATGGCTTACTTGTTATCTTGATCCTTGTTAATGAAGGACACACGATTGATTACATTTTGTTTGAGTTTCTCAGGAACGCCTGGGAGGAAGGTAGAAAAGAAAGTTCAATAGGTGACCACCAAGGACTTAGTAGAGAATGAAAAAGAAGGATAATAGTTGACGTTATGGGCATTCTGTTGGTTTCTTTCCTGTAGTGTCAGGTCCAAAACCATGAATAATGCATGAAGATTCTTCCAAGTTGAGTTCTTTTAAGGGTTCACACCTAGAGACGGAATGTTGCTGGTGTGAAGACTCTACTATTTGCACCTACAATATACTTTGACAACTATTAGGGAGAAGCCATGTCCACCCTCTTTCTTTTATATGTGATATCTGGGCTGAGTTGCCTCTTATTTATCCGGAATACACCCTTCCCTCCTGGGGATCCACTTCCTCATTCCGTTCCATTTCATATATTGACCCAGAAGAAAAGGTGGCACAATATAATAAGAATGAGAATCTCTACTTCCTGAAGATCTTGAGCCAGAAGTATGGCTTCCTAACTCTTACCCAACCAGAAGGCTTTGTGTGAACTTTATGTTCTGGATTCTGCTGACCTTTAATGCAAAGTTGAGTGCGCTGGAGTGCATTGTCATGATCCCTCAACATGTAGTGAAAATCCTCCCAAGTGAGCTCTTCCTTATCCTGAAATCCTGCTTCTTTGAACAAGGATTCAATAACCTGTTCGGTCTGATCCCGGGAGAGACAGTTGTTAGAGATCTCAATGAAGGATCTAGAGGAGGAAATAAGAAATTTTGAGCTAATAAGTCTCAAAACTGGGTAACTGAAGAGGCTATGGCAAAGGCTTGCTTGAATCGAAGAAGGTGGTTGATAGCACATCAGTTTAACTCACGACTCAGATTAACTTACAAAAACTGTGGGTTGGATGGAGACACTGGCTGAGCTTGGTCTACAATAAGACCAGTCCTACTCTGCAAATCTAGGGAATTATTTTCCATGGAGCTTCACCTCTTCCAAAATGTTGGTAATAGACCCATAATGAAGCAAAACTCTGAGGCAGGTAGATTCCTCAAAGAATAGCTTTGTTGGAAATATATTGGCACAGATCTGGTGAAAACCAACTCTGAAGGTTCTTGCGACTTTCACCTAATTAAAAGTTTGTCACTTTCTCAAAACAATCAGATGGTCCAATCACAATCTGGTTGCCTAGTGACATTGCTCCTCCTTCCTCTGACCAGGTGTGAGAATGTCCTTGGTTCCCAAGAGAAAGTATTGTGTTTTGGCTACACAATCCCAGCTATCTCAAATCCTCCCTCCCTATCCCTCAGCTCCAGTGTGGCAACACGGAAGTTGTCAAGATGGCTTTGATCAGCTCAACTTCAGGGCTGACAGCTGGGCTGTGCATTGTGAGGTTGTGCTTTATTGTTGGTGTCAACGTTCCCCCAGATGTACACAAGCTGAATTTCAGGTGAGGAACCAACCAGAGGTACGAGTTAGCATTCTAGCAAATGGAAATTCTAGCATCTCTCCACCAAGAATTTGTTACAATAACCAAAGCCAGCAAACCAGCAGAAGATACCTCAGCATCCGAAAAAATTCTCCTTTCGAAAGAAAGCCATTTCCGTCAATATCGTACATGGCAAACATCAGCTTGGACTTCTCCTGGGGGGTTCCTGGTTGAGAGAGAGAGAGAACACAAAACATGACTCATCACACAACTCAGCCCCCAATATTTGGAAAGATCCTTAAAGCCCATTTCTTGATTTTTGCTGACAATCAGAAAGGAAGGAAACACTTAGTTCTGAGATGATCAGTGTGTCGAGTATTCAAGGAATACTTAAAATAAATAAAATAGAACAGATGATATTATAGCAACTCAAAAGTTCATGGATTGTGCTGATAGATACCCCCAAAAATCTCACTACTCTAAAGCTCATCGTGTTGGCTGAAAGTTTAACACAATTCTCACACTTCCAATGGGTCAAGATTAAGACTCTACTACAGGTCTCTGTTATAATAGTGGCATCTTCTTGCAATCCTTAGGTTTTCCAGGAAGAGGGCAAAGGATCCTGCCTCCTTTCACCAACTCCATCTACTTGCTCCTGGAACTGAAGGGGAAGACCTCTATCATCTTCCATCCACTTCATCATCAATGGATGGATAAATGGATATAATATTCCATTGGGTATTCATAATTCCGTTGGGTATCAAATATTAGGGTTGCCTACACACAACATGCTTGACTTGTTGTGTTATTGACTCAATCAATCTTCTTAGGTCACCCGAGACACTGAATCATAAAAAAATAGAATAGAATAGAATAGTATAGAATAGAAATCTGATGTAACACTAAGCACTAAGCTTAACTGGTTACAAAAAAAATGCATCTTCAAATCAACTTGATTTAGTAAAGTGTATTCTAACCCAAATAGTCTGGGGCCAAACTCTTGAGGTCTTGACCGTGGTTAGTTTTTTCCCACCCCTTGCAGTTGAGTAATTTCAAATTTCACCTTTCATAAAGACCACCAAGATGTCCAGGAATTCCCGAAAGGAGAGATATCCATTCCCGTCTTTGTCGGCGAGTGAGAACATGGACTCCACAAATACGGATTGGGATTTGAGACCCAGAGCATCCGCGAACTCGGCCCGGCTCAGTTCACACTTTAAGGCTTCCTTGGCTTTCTGAGATGTTTCCAAATTGAGTTCTCCAGCATCTAATCTGTCAATGTTTAGAACCTAAAAGAGTAAGACCACCAATCACATTCCCACCAGGAAGGAAGTCCACTCACTTTCCACCAGAAAGACAAGGCACTCTAAATAAAACTCGGATAGTTCTTGCACTTGCTGTCCTACCATGTAGTGATGATGTAACATGAAGTGACAAGAGGAGGTTTTAGATTTTAGTCATTTTAATTGGTAATAAAATCATTCAGTTAGGCAACATTGTGTAGATGGTGTTATTTCTTGTTCGGCAACATACGTATTCAATGTTCTAATAGACCAGAAATCAATAGAAAAGAAATACAATGTTTTCCAACAAGTGAGAGAAAGAAACAACCATTTAAATGGTACAAGTTAAATAGGGGAAGGGGAAAGAGATGTAGGAAGAGGTAGAGGGGGAGAAAGTAGAAGAGGAGGAGGAGGAAGAGGAAGAGGAAGAGGAGGAAAAGGAGAGGAGAAGGAGAAGAAGCAAGAGCTCCCCACTTACCTGAGCAAATGAATGCCGGAAAAAAATTTCCAGGATTTCTTTTCTCTGCTCCTTGGTTACTGCCTTTTTCAGCAGCTGCTGTTCGCTCATCATGAACACTTGGAGCGTCAATTCATTCCTCTCCAAGTAGGTTTTCAGATGTCCGAGGAAGTCCCTGCATTCTGCTTCTACCTTAAATTGCAACACCTGAGAACAACAGTGAGATGAGAGAGCTTCACAGTCGAGGGTGAGAATCTTTAGACAACTGAAAATGCTCTCTTGTTCATAACGTAACTCCAACACCTAAAAGTCCCCCTTGTTCTATGCCACTCTTTCATATTTTAATTTTTAAGGCATTGCTTAATATATTCAGAATACTTTAGAGGTTTGCGATTTCATCAGTGACCTAGTTATTTACAATAGGATCTTCTCCGTGGCGACATAGACCATGGATAGCTTTTCCGCCATATACCTATTGCTATTAAACAATTGGCATAATATTATAGGATTTATGGAAATAATCCTGGTTGCTACTTTAGTTAGTCCTAAGGTTCCTGGGGTTGAAAAGAAGACAGAAAGGCAAGAGGGGAACCTTTCCAGTATATAAACGAGAACATACAAAGTTGATTGTCATCCTCCCTGGTACATACCAGGTCATATTCTTTAGGAATCTTCAGAAGTATGGTCTTGTTGCCTCGGTTGTTGGACATGATGGTCTCCACTTTCTGCTGGCTTCTGAGGGTTATGCTGCGAACCACAGCCAACTTGCAATCAAGCACTTTGATCACTTTGTCTTCCTTCAGTTGGATGTAGACAAGGGAAGTATCTATCTTGAAGCCGTGCCATTCAAGTGCTGGGCGGGGAGAAAACTCCTACGTTACTGATTACCAATTAATGGAGTTGGAAGGGACCTTCCAACTGCACACCAGAACAACTAGACACAAGGACAGTTTTTTTCCCCTAACGCCATCACTCTACTAAACAAATCATTCCCTCAACACTGTCCAACTATTTACAAAGTCTGCACTACTATTACTTTTAATCTTCTCATGACTCCTGATCACCCATCCTTCCCACTTGTGACTGTATGACTGTAACTTTGTTGCTTGAATTCTTACAATTTTTATTGACTATTTCTTAGTATGATTTTATTGCTTATTGTAACCTGTGACTATCATTAAGTGTTGAACCTTATGATTCTTGACTCTGACGAATTTATTTTTTCTTTTATGTACACTGAGAGCATTTACACCAAGACATTCCTTGTGTGTCCCATCACACTTGGCCGATAAAGAATTCTATTCTATTCTATTGTAGGTTATCTAGTCCAACCCCCGCCCGCCCTTCACCCAGCCCAAGCAGGAGACCCTACACCATTTCTGACAAATGACAGTCCAGTCTCTTCTTGAAAGCCTCCAGTGATGAAGCTCCCACAACTTCTGAAAGCAACTTCTGTTCCATTGGTTGATTGCTCTCACTGTCAGAAATTTTCTCCTTGTTTCCAGGTTGAATCTCTCCTTGTTCAGTTTCCATCCATTATCCCTTGTCTGGCCTTCAGGTCCCTTGGAAAATAGTTTGACCCCCTTCCTCTCTGTGGCAGTCTCTCAAATATTGGAAGACTGCTGTCATGACTCCCCTGATCCTTCTCTTCACTAGACTAGCCATGCCCAGTTCCTGCGAACAGTTCACCATGTGTTTTAATCTCCAGTCCCCTAATCATCCTGGTTGCTCTTCTCTGCAATTTTTCTAGAGTCTCAACATATTATAACATAGAACAGACTTTATATTAGCCTTGCATTTTCAAACACTCAAGGTTCCCTTCCTCAAAGACTCTTTTATCCTTTTTGAAGACACCTAGGCTGTTATCGTTCATGCATCCATTTACACCAATATAACTCATGTCCAAGTTTTCGTTGCTTTTCTCCATCACTCTCCCATCTCCAGGAATGTAAACCCAATAGTATAACCCCAGCGAATACAACACAAGAGTGTGCAATTGTTTCTGATTAGCAACCAGGATAACAATTCTCCAGGAATTCTCCATTTGATTCATACTGTGTTTGAATGGAATCTTTGCGTAGTGGACGCTCGGGCAGAATTGCTCCTCACCTTGGGTTCCTTCAGCAGATACGTCTGGATGAGTGGTGGGATTTTGCCTCTTCTGCAACTTACGGAAAGACCTCCTCCGGAAAAAAGCAACAATCCAGGCAATGAAGAGACTCACTGCAGAAAAACCAGCATGAAAAGCATTAGCTGATGTTACAACAGCTGGAGTTGTTCACAAATACCAATCTTGAGCATTGAGGATAGTTACAAACCAACAAATTCTTCCTCTTAGGTCATCACATTGATAACTTCATGCTACTTTTCTTCAAGTTGATGTCCTTCAAAGCTATTGAGATAACAAATCACGGTTTTCTTCACCACCATGGACAATGGTCCTGCTACCTGCATATCTCAATCACCTCTGGCGCCACAGCCTTCTACTGATCGTCTTAAAAGTCAGAGGGCATAGTGGAACCCAAAGGAGCTAAAATTAAGGAGATCCCAAAATTGCAGGTCCATACACTCAGTCTCTCAGTCTTTACTTTGTTCAGAGGCAGCATTTAAGCATTGTTGGAAAGATGCAGGCTGCATCGCCTAATAAACCACAGATCTCCAATTTTTGTCCCACCAAGGTTGAACGACTGATTATTTTTGGGTGGGGAGGAAGTGAGCAAACACAAACGTCGGACAGTACTTATAGAGATGCTTTATTCCAGTTTTCTACACCACCACCCCCAGGACATTTCAACAGTTGAACTCTATGCTGGAGTATAAAGGAAAACTTCAAACCTGGATGGAATACAAACCTAAAGGCAAGCAGCACAGGGCAGCGATGAGGATTCCAAAACCGGCAGGACTTCCTTGGAAGTAATCTATGACGGTCATCTGTTTGCACAGAGGAAGGCCCTCCAAGTTCATCTGCCTGGGTTGGAGGCATGGATCACCTGATGGGTGGAGAATGCAATGAGACTCTGCCCATTCCATTTCATTCTTTTTGTTCCTCCCTCCACTAAAGTTTCTTAAGACACTCAACACAGATATAGTGGCCCGTACTTTATAACTGGTTGCTTAGCCACTGTTCAAAATTACGATGGACCTCCCCAGGGCTACTTACAGCCTGTTTTCAAAGTTCCGATGGCCACACCCCTTTGCAGTCATGTGATCATGTTTTAGGTGCCTAGCAACAAGCTCGTATTTATGGCCTTCGCTGAGTATCTTGTGTGTCAACTAAAAAAAAAATACTCCTTTGGTCTTTTTAGTTGGAGTGGGGGAAAGCAGTGCATTCCTTAAATGCCTCAGATAATCACTTGGCAGCCAAAGCTGTTGGTGCGCAAGATTATTACTGCAGAGCATGATTGATGACTCTTGGCTATAGATGTGTCTCATTGGAGAATATACATCCAGGGGGTGGGGGGAAGACCAGGGTCAAGGGTGAAATGAATGATGTATCAGAGTCGACTGCAACCAGGAAATGCTGACATGTCAATTCCTAATAAATCAATCTTTTTTACTCTGAGAAATTTGGCTAGAGACTTGTGATTTGAATGGGGGTGCATGTTGGAGCCCTGACAGTGTGGTCATGGCATCTTAATTTTCTGCACTTTTCCCTGCTTTCTGGCATTTATGTCCATTTTCTGACAGAAAAGGCCCATTGGGGAAAAATGGACTCGTTTAACAACCGGAGCATTTACTTAATGACCACTGCAATAAAGGTTGTAAAATTGGGAGCGGTCATGTGGGAACCTGCTTAATGAACATCATGAGTTACGACCGTATTTCTGGGCTCAATGCTGATCGTAAGTCTACTTGTATTTTCCTTCTCTGCTGTGGTTTGAAGACAGATCCACCTCTTGTAAAAACAGTTTGGTTCGCTTTCTCTGCCCATCGGGGTAAAATAAAAATTGGACCAGAGCTCCATCCAAATGCTACAATGCCCACATGAGCATAGGTGAATTTATTGCTTCTAATTCCCCTTGTCAGCATGGTCCAACTAAACAACTCCAAACCAATAAACTCCAAGACAAGCATTTCCTCAAAGTTCCATTTTATGAGAGTTGTCATTTTAGCACATCTGGGAAAACCCGAATCTGAAAGTTCGGGGTTTTCCCTTCCCCAAAGAGAAATTCAAAGATCCATCCCTGCACCCACCATCCCATCACGTGGCCCAATCAAATCTTTGTCCTAACTGGAGACATCCCTCCAGGCACTCCTCTCCAAGTGCAGGGTGACTTGTCCTTGACTTTCCAAGAAAGAATGTTGTTGATCTAATCTTCCCTCTCTATGAAATCCCCCCTCTAGTCACTCCCAGGCGCTAAATGTGGCAGCCCTGAAGCTTCCAAGCAAAAAATGGTTTCCAAGGCTGACACCCCCGTCTGCAATAAGCAGATATGGTGAGCTGGATTAACAAGCTTTGGATATGAGGATGGTATGTCGTAACTCTGGACATTTCTCCAAGCTGTAATAACAAACTGGGGAGATTCAGGCATTCAACACCAGAGCTAATAAAAAAGTTCTTGCACCAAGACCTAGAGGAATGTTATAAAAATGTTTACAGGTCAAACTTGCAAGGCAGGACAAGGCCGCATGTTAACCCGGATGCTACACAAAACTCACGTGGTCCATATATTCTCTATCTAAAACAGTGACAGTCCCTGGCTTCAAAAATGGCAGGTGCAACCACGGGATGGACGCCCCACTTCTCTTTAATGTGCATTGCAGACAGGTATAAATCACCTGCCATTCGGGAACTAGGGACTATCGCTCCAGACAGGCTGTGAGCCTCCAATTTATGCAACTCCCTGCATTCAAAAGACTAGGAGATGCCAATATTGAAAAATAAACAAATAAATCCAGCTTCATACTGTGAAGTTCTGTCTAATGAAAAACAATGTTCTTTTAAGAAAATATTGGATTGTGCTGAAATGAGTAAATTGACATTTGAAATTAGAGAACAAGAAGATAAACAATTTTATGAAGTTTGGGATCTTTTTTATCAATGGTTAGATAATAAAACATAATAATAGAATATTCAGATTTAGCATAAAAAAATTTTTCCCCCTTTTTTTTTTGATATTATCTTTATAAAACATTATCAAGATAGATTTGGTATGATCTTATGATTTATTGCAAAATAAACTAAGTAAACTATAGTTATCTCGTTAAAATATGAATTAACAAAATTATAGATAAATGATGTTTTTAGTGATGATATTAGGTTATACAATTATTGATTGATAATATGAGCTATTATGTAATATAATTATACTAGTGACTAGGAAATGGATGCACAAAAAAAAGTGGTAAACCAACCGATGCACTGTTTGTAAATTTATGAAGAAGGATGATATTTTTATATTTTATGTGGTATGTCTATGTTGTTTAATTGTTAAAATAATTTTTTTTAAAAAAAAGAAAAACAATGTTCTTATTTATGTGTAATCCTAAACAATTGTTTGGTGCTTTGTCCAAAGCTCTTAGGTTCATTCCTTCCACCCCTATCCCCTCTTTCGATCATGAATCCAGAATTTTCTGCATGTACCAGGGGTTATTCACCTCTTGAGATACAGCCTGCCTCCTTTCTCTTTGTTGAAAGATTTGTAATATTTCTAATATGGGTTAAAAAACCATGGATTTGTTCATAGGCACGCACAGCGATGATAGCAAGGGGGGAGTGGGAGAATGAAACATAATTATGCTTCATAATAGAAGCTCCGTTCCTTGGATACTTACGGGCAACACTGCAATGGAAGCATGCAAGGGTAGAACTTGTTTGTGATGGCATTTTAATCAGGGATGGAAATGGGTGCCAGTGATTATGGTGTTTTGCCTTGATTGGGGGTCTCATCCCATTCACCTCTCCAAAATATGAGCCATTACTCACCATTTTTCCAGGTGAACACATCTTTTTGGATATTTGTTGTGTTCATGACAGCATCAAGAACATGACTGAAGGTCGTGTTTTTAATGGCCACAATCTCCTCGGAAGTGAATAGTCTACAAAAGGGATAAACAAGAGTCAGTGGGATCTTGAATGCATTAAGCATAAATACAGTCGTAAGGTTGGGATTCGAATGCCTTCTTAGAACTGGGAAGTTCAAAACCTCATTCAAACTGGCCATCAGAAGACATGAAGGAAATTCTTTAATTTTACAACATACAGATAGACTTAACCCTAGTTTCAATTGGGAAAAATGTGACCCTCCCAGAACAAGCCATATCCAAAAATGTCAGGGAATTTTTAGAAGCCTAGCACTCTGAAAAATCAGCCATCAATAGACACATGGACATTAACAACATGTGTAGACTATGCAAAAGAGACAATCAACCAGCCCCAAAGAGAACAAAAAGACTCCAGCCCCTCTCCATCAGTAATCGACACTCAGAACAGCATAGATTAACTTCAAGGTTAACTTAACTAAGACCAACAATCAAGTATACAAGCAAGCTCAGACAGCACCAAGGACCTCAGAATTCAACCTTGAGCTACAAATATCTTCTATCAAAGACCCTGTATTTGGTTTCTTTTTTAACAGATGGGATGAGAATTCTTCCTTTCAGGACTTCAAGGCAAGTTGTTTTCTATTTCTGGAGGAACACCCCAACTTTAGATGGTGAGAAGGATCCAAGTACCACCTTGACTTGTTTATCCCAATGTCTGCCAACCTTCTCTCTTCTAGATCTACTGGATTTCCATCACCCCTGGTGAGCTTTCTGTTGGGTCTCAACTATGAAATATTTGGTGTGGGTTTGGCAACAGTCACAATTTCTCAGCCCCACCTGCCTTGTCAAGTCGTCGTGAGAATAAAAAGAAGGCAAAGAGAACCATACATCTCACTGTATCAGAGAAAAGAAACGGAAGGATAGAATCGGAAAGATGGAATTAAATGATGTTCTGATGGGATGACTTACCCATTCTTGGGGTTTTCAAACCAGAATCGGTCTCCATCTCGTAGGCGGACAAACTGGTCCTCAAGGATGGCTCGGAAAAGGGCCTCATTCTCTTCCAACATCCCTCCAAGAAGCAGCTCCAGGCTTTCAAGCCTGTCACCATAGAGTTCCTTAGTCGATTCAAGGATCTAGGAGCAAAGAGACCATTGGGTTTGAAGGCTGAATGAAGGTGGGCTTGAATAGTTAAAAGAAATGGGGAGATTTTTGTCCCCTTTTTTTGGTTTGGTGCCAGGTATAAAATGGGAAGAGGGCCTTGCGGCCAGAATAAAATAAGTACAGTTAGGTAGTAAATGCATTTTTCAAGAGTGAATGGGAGCCATGGTGGTGCAGTGGTTAAAGTGCAAAGTTGCCGGCAAACTTTGCCCACAGCTTGGAGTTCGATCCTGACCAGCTCAAGGTTGACTCAGCCTTCCATCCTTTAAAGGCTGGTAAAACGAAGGCCCAGATGATTGGGGCAATACGCAAATAATGTTGGCACTGGTGCAATCAGAGCGTGCAGTAAAATGGCCTGGGGAGGTATATACATCTAAATGCAATTGCTATTGCTAAATAGTAGATTCCAGAGCTTTGATCTGGTTCAAATTATCCCCACTGCTTTTGCCGTTTGAACTGGAACAAACCTTCCATCCCTATCAACAGAAGACAGCAAAGAGAAGCAACCTGCATTAGCTCCTATTTTCTAACTACTGAGAATTTTAAAAAAAATATAATTATGTGTACAGAGGAATGATTGAGTCTGTCAACTGCACCTCTATAACTGTCTGGTTTGGCTCTGCAACCCAACAAGACAGACACAGACTTCAGAGGGTAATTAGGACTGCAGAAAAAAACAATTACTACCAACCTGCCTTCATTCGAGGACCTGTCCACTGCACGAGTCAAAAAGAGGGCTGTGAAAATATCTACAGACCTCTCACATCCTGGACATAAATTGTTTCAACTCCTGCCCTCAAAACGACTCTTAAAGACCCCTGCACACCAGAACAACTAGACACAAGGACAGTTTTTTTCCCTGAACGCCATCACTCTGGTAAATAATTCCCTCAACACTGTTCAACTATTTACAAACTCTGCACTACTATCACTATTAATTTCATCACTCCTTATCACCCATCTCCTCCCTCTTGTGATTGTATGACTGAACTTGGTCGCTTGCATCCTTACGATTTATATGGACTGTTTCCTAGTATGATTTGATTGCTTATTGTACCCGATGACTATGATTAAATGTTGTACCTCGTGACTCTTGATGAATGTATCTTTTCTTTTGTGTACACTGAGAGCATTTGCACCAAAGACAAATTCCTTGTGTGTCCAAACACACTTGGCCAATAAAGAATTCTATTCTATTCTATTCTATTCTATTCTATTCTATTCTATTCTAT